GATCGTGTGTGCCGGATAGTTTGTATATTAAAACTGTTTGATGTTGTGTTTAGTTACTTGTTACACGCTCCATGGACATGAAGTGATTACCACAGAAAAGGCAGGAAGGCCTAGAGGGCAGGTCCTTCTATCCCAGAGCTCCTGGTCACACTAGCTGTGCATGACTCTTCACTTCCTCAGTACTCAAATATGTTTGGGTGTGAGGGCTAAGAAGGTAACGTGCCTGGTAGTAGGTGGTCCCAGTATTAGGCTTAAGCCTTGGTGTGGCTGTATACTATGATGCTATGGGGGGTATCACAGAAACACATTTTGGTGTAGGATATCTGAAAAGTAAACTGTCCTCAGGAGAAAAGAACTATGTAGGAGTTCCAGATGAGGAGCGGCCTGTGAATGGATAAAGTATAAAACTAGTCAGGAGTCTTCTGCCAAAATGGCTTGTCACTGGGGCCTGTCGATTAGTTGAAAGTCCAGCTTTTCATAGAGAAAGGCCAGTTTGAGGTGTTTTTTACTTCCATCAGTAAAAGTTTTCCAGGGCCAGGCTGTTACACGTGCTATCTGTGAGCAAACCCTTAGTGATATGGTCAAATATAGAAAGGCCCTAAGTGATATTTATTTATGCAAATTATTGCCTTCAGTAGAAGAGACAATGATGCTCCAGTGGTGTGATGAGTCCTTAACACAGTGAGCAAGCTCTCAGGCAGTGGAGGGAGGAGATGTTCCTGTGACTAACTCACTCAGGTGTTCCCAAAGGACAGTTCTCCTTCAGAGCTGATAGCTGAGGCTTGCATCTCATTCAGGCTGCGATAGCATCTGAGCCTGGATTTAGGTCACACCCAAATGTCCCAATGTCTGGGCTATGTTTCACTGCTGTGGGTGTTGTCATGTTCCCTGGCTACTTTCTTTCTCCATGGTAACTTGCAAGTGGTTGATATCAAGTTTAGAAATTGAAACTGATGCTTTGCTCACCCTTAGTACCATTACCATTCTTGTTGCTTTGAGGAACAGCTCATCTTTTCTTTGGCATCAGATTTGATCTGATAACACTGATGTACTATTTCCCCAAGATGCACCCCACGATCTGAGGTCTAGATACTTAAAAAAGCTCTGGGTAAGCCCTTGCCTTCCTTGGGTAGATACCTCATTTAAAAGGCTTGTGTTAGCTGTCACTGAAACTGATGGAAAATTAGTGAAGGTAATGACTAATGGAGTCTCTTTCTACAAAATTAGTGAAGGTAATGACTAATGGAGTCTCTACAGGTAAAATGGAACATGGTACCTTTGAGAGCAGCAATGTTAAAGTCCCACTTCTTGAAAAAAACAACTGTGTAGACTTTCTTCTTTCCTGGCCTCTGTTTAGAGTATGCAATGGCCTTGGTTTAAGTGCAAAGGAGCATGTTCTGCCTCAGAAGTTTTGTTGTGTACAGGAGTGGGGCTGTACAAGAGAAGTGCTAATGTCAAGGAGGGGGAACCAAGGAGATAGACTGAGTGTCAGGTGAAGGCTGCAAGAAGTCAAACCCAGGAGCACAGACTTGGCAACTGCTCTATTTAATTTGGGACAATCAGTTAAGAAGCAATGGTTGATCCTAGCAGTTTATTTGCCTTTGGTTTTGTTCAGTGTTATGGGTAGGAATTTTCAATAAACTTGCGTTTATTTCATTCGCAAGTACTCACCCACGGCAGCACAGACTGAACTGCAGCACCTCTCGTGATCGTCTTTTTTTTCCTCTTTCTTCTCGGTTTTGGTTTTGTTGTTTTGGTTTTCTTTCTTAATTTTCTTTCTAGAGAAAGAGAGAAAGAAGGTGGTGACAGAAACACACAAAGGTTTTAATCTAAATAATCCCCCGAGTCTCCTGGCTGGCATGAGCCCTGCTCCGGTAACCACACCCCGGCGAGACGTCTGGGCGGCGGCTGGAGCCCACGGTCCCTTGGTCTCAGCCACTCCGGGACCTGCTCCTGCCTGTGGGAGGGTGGGGAGGAGGCACCTCTGTGCCCTGCCTCTGCTTCCCACGCCGTGATGTGAGGGGCAGGCGTGCTCAGTAGCCCGTGCCTAGCCTTCCTTCTCAGCAACAGTGCCTACAACACCAGGAGACGGCTTGCAGCGGGAGCTCAGCCGAAAGCCATCTTAGCTGGGGAAGGAGGCGGTGGACACCGCGCCGCTCGATGCGCGACATGTGAGTACCCGGCCCTGCAGGCGGGGGCCACCTCCATCCCCCGCCCGGACCCCTGTCCCCCGGCCGGCTATCCCGCAGAGAAGCGGGCGCTGGAAGTTGACGCGCATGCTCGGAAGGAACGGCGGGTGTTGCCCTGTTGCTTTGGCAGCCGAGGGGGATTAACTTTTGCGATGCAGTTCGGTGTCGGAGGGACGCGCAGGGCCGTGAGTGGAGTGGGGTGAAGAGGTGGAAACGGGAATAAAATGCCCGAGGCTGCCGTGGCCCCGGTGGGTGGCACCCGTGCGGCTCCGGACTCCGAGGAAGGGGTTTCAGGGCGGGAGCTCGGTAGGTGTAATCCAGCCTGCAGCAAATCGAAGTCTGATCTGTCTGCTGTTAACCCGTGAGCACTTAACATGGGCTCTCACTGCTTGCTGTTTATCCAGCTGGCAGACAGCAGTGGAGACAGTTATTGACATGATTCTAACTCTGATTAATACTCAAAAAGAAATGCTGGGCCAATATCCTCAACAGGTTGAAGTCACGATTGTTTTACAGCACTCGGTGCTGCTGATCCATAGTTGCTGGGTCCTGTTTGTTTTCTGTGTTGAGGGACACGTTCTCTCTGAAATACTTGCTGTCTGATCAATTCAGCCTCACCCTCTCTAGTACCGAAGGCTTCCAGCAGCAGCGCTTGGTAAGTATCTGTTCCCTCTCACTTGAATGTCTTCAAATACCTCTTCCAAGTCTTTACATTCAGCATTAATGAAAGCATTAACAGTCTCTGCTAGGCAGTGATGAACCCCCAAACTCAATTCTTAAACCAGAAGTGCACTGAGGTAAGTAGGAATTTATCAGACCCCTGTTTGTTCACAAAATACTTTGGGTAGCTAAATACATAATCATTTTACTATTATCTCAATTAATTGCTCATTCTCAGTGACTTCTAAGACACAGCCAGAGAAGATGTCTAAAACAGCCATTCACACATGGTGCTACAGAACGTGTATGGGATCAAATATCCTCTGGTTTTGGGTGGACTTGGAAGAATTGGAGCTTGGATAATTCAGACAAGATCAGGAATGGCAACAGTCCCGGCAATCTGTGATTAAATTACTTTAAAAATATTTTAAATAATAAACAATTCTTCATGAGGGATTTTAAAAACAGAATCTACAATCACACGTTCTGAAATGTTGGTTTTCTTCTTCCATGCTGTTTCCTGTGTAATATCTTGGACAATAAGCTTTTGTCCATTTTTGGACAAATGCTTCCAAAGCAGGGAACTCTTTGGAAGTAAAGAAAAATTACTGTCCAGGAAACAATTATTCGTGTAAATACTGAACTCCTATCTAGCAAAAGCCAGTTCATTTTAAGCTCCTGTTGCCTAGTTGTGTTTATATCAAGAACCAGATGATAACATAAATAGTTTTATTTGTATGTGAGCTGTACTTCAACGATTAATAAGAGTTTGCTGTTGTAGTATTTAAGCTGTTCAGACACAAACAGTGACTCAGATGATGTTTAAATTAACTATGTATATTTCAGTCTTGGTGTATATAGGTGTTCATGAGAGCATTTGTACATAAAGCAGAAAGGATGGTGCTAATGGAACTTGGTTGCACTTTTTCTGTAGGGCATGTGCATCAGACAAAAAAAAAAAATAGAAGAAAAAGGGAAAGCAGTTTTTGTCTATTTTGACAATAAAGACTTTCAGTTTTATAATCAAAACAAAGCCAAAACAAATAAGCAGCTTCTCATTTGCAGTGTCAGTTGGTATCTGTTTCATTGCCAGATATTACAATGAATTTTTTTTTTAATATCTGCATGAATATCATGTCCCAAAAGCTTCTGAGATACTGATGAACAATAAAGATAAATGTGTATTAGTTACTGACTTGTAGCAGAAGCTACAGTTGTAGTTCACTAGATGATAAAACCTAATTGCAAGTGAGCACACAATGCTCTGTGGAATTTACTGCTCCTGCTGTTACTCCTATAGGATACTGCAAATACGGGCTCTTCTCATGGTGTGTACAGACACCCAGGTGAGACTCGAGGTTGTGTCTTCAGCTGTTGTGAACCAGTGTTCATGAAGAACTCCTTCACAGGGTCCAGTGACAGCTCCAGCTAATTCTGGTGTACTGTCCTCAAAGCAACTTGCAGGTAGTGCTCAGGGAAGAGTACAAGGAAACAGTGGCTGTGCAGTGGTGTTCTCAGAACT